ACAGGCTCCAAAGCTACACACAGAAATCCTGTCTAGAAAAAAAGGGAAGGAAGGAAGGAAGACGGAAGGAAGGAAGGAAGGAAGAAAGAAAGAAAGAAAGAAAGAGAGAGAGAGAGCATTTTGAATCAAGGACAAGAAGCTGGGAATTGTGGGAAGGGTTACATCCCTTCCCATCAGTAGACTCCTTTCTTCCAGCAGCCCAGAGCTCCACCTGCGGCTAGTGAAGGCCAGCGAGTCACTCTGGAGCCAGCAGACATCTCAAAGACGTGAGTAAAAGCCGGTGCTCACTTGGTGCCTTTTCTGCGGGGCAGCTGTGGGGTTAGGAGCCCAGAGTGGCGGGACCCTGGAAGAAGACTAGATGATCCCTCATACGCTCAGTGGGGACAGGCTGAACTCACCCCAGGAAGACTGGGGAAAGGAGAGAGGGTGAGACACAGGACAAGGCAGGCCCACCCAGGGCTCCTGTGCCAGCAGCTGGTCTTCTGAGTGCCGGCAAGCCGTGGCAGATTGCAGATCGCCCCGCGTGGGTTCAGTGCTGAGCGTGCTGTGGGGGAGAGCTACTTGTAACCTAGTAGGGGGTCATAGCTGCACCTGAACAGTAATAGCTCATTGGCCCCAGAGTTGGGGAGGAATCAGAATAGGGATTTGGGGAGCCCTGGAGAATGCAGGAGACTCATGGTGGGTTGCTAGAGCTAGGCTGAGGGAGACATGAAGGTTGGCCATAGTCAGTGGTTCCCAGGTTTATGCTCTGGGATCTGCAGAAGAGAGAACCAGGGGGCTTCCTGAATGCCTCTAACACAAAGCTCCCCCCCCCCCCCCCCCCAGTTTGGTCAGAGTTCCATTTTCAGCTTTCTGCCTGGCTTTATGACTGGCATAAAACATCTGGTAACCATCTCGGGGTGGAGAGCTCTTCCGCTCAGTGTTGCAGGAGTTGGGGCAAATACTGCCAGCTGTTCATGTGGGCAGGTTTGGTCACCGCTCTAGAGGCCTGGAAGTGGACTCGGGAAGGATGCAAGGTCTAAGGTTGGTGCCTGTGTGACTAGACAGCAAAGGAGGGACCCGGCCCATGGCTGAGGCGGGAGCCGGATCTCTCTCAAAGGATTCTTCGTTTCATTGATAAAAGAATTCAAGAGCAACTCAGATGGAAGTTCAAGAAAAAAAATTTTTTTTAAAATTAAAGGAAAGTGAAATCCTTTTTTTAAAATTTATTTATTTATTTATTTATTTATTTATTTAGGATTTCTGTCTCCTCCCCGCACCCGCTTCCCATTTCCCTCCCCCTCCCCCGATCAAGTCCCCCTCCCTCATCTGCTCGAAGAGCAATCAGGGTTCCCTGACCTGTGGGAAGCCCAAGGACTGCCCACCTCTATCCAGGTCTCCTAACTGCCTAGGCTCCCACAAAGCCAGTACGTGCAGTAGGACCAAGAACCCCACTGCGATTGTTCTTGAGCTCTCATTATTCCTCATTGTCCGCTATGTTCAGCTAGTCCGGATTTATCCCAAGCTTTTTTAGACCTAGGCAAGCCAGACCCAAAAAGAGGAACATGGGATGTACTCACTCATATTTGGTTTCTAGCCATAAATAAAGGACATTGAGCTTATAATTCATGTTCCTAGAGAAGCTAAATAAGAAGGTGAATCCAAAGACAAACACATAGGCATCCTCATGAATATTAACCTTCATCAGGCGATGAAAGGAGACAGAGTCAGAGACCCCCAAGGGAGCACCGGACAGAAATCTCAAGGTCCAAATCAAGAAAAATTTTTTAAAAGAAACACCCCAGGGCAGGAAGTTGTAAACTTCAGCAGCTGCCTGAAGGGGAAGGAAGGGTAAGGGAAAAGTCACACGGGTCACGTTAAGTCAGCACAGAGGTCACGTGGCAGGGAGGGGAGCTTCAGAGAAAGGATAGAAGCCCCCAAAGCGCCAGAAAAACCTACATGGGTTCTGGCCAGCTTCGGAAAGAAAGAGGAGGAACAAAGACCTCAGAAAACTGGCACCTCATAAAGGTGAGCGGGTCTCATAAATGTGGGCAGACCCAGCTGAACCTCCGGACGGTTCCTCTAGGATGGCTGTGGTAGGGAGGTGGGATTCTAGGAGAAAAAGTCTAGTGTCTCATCAAAGGACTAAACTTTTTGGCATTGCTTAAAGTGCATCTGCCTTCCTAGAGATAGTTCCTCCTTCCTGAGCCTCCTAGCCAGGTCATTGACCCCACCCAGCTGGAATGTTAGGTCTACACCCAGGCCAGAGATTTCTTCCTCTTGGCCAAAACCTCTGGGCCTTCACTACTGTGATGTCAGGGACAGGCAGCTCCTTTCCTCTCTGTCTCGGGGACCCAGTTTCGGGGAAGGACCAGCCTTGCTGGGAAAGTGCTTGGGTGAGTTCCCTGGAAACCTGGCTGCCCATGCAGAACTGCGAACTTCCCTACCCATCTTTTTTGCACCCCAAAGCGTGGCTCATTGAAGGTGCCACAGCTGGGGAGTGACACGGAGGCCAGATGGCAGCCTCTGGCTGCATCTCAGATGGACAGGATACAGATGTGTCGAGATATTTAAACAGGGGTGGAGACAGCTGGGCCAGCAAGATAAATTGTGACAGTCAGAAGCAAAGAAGTGATCCAGTCTGTAATGATCTGGAAAAGAGAAAAGGAAAAAAAAAAAGGAGAGCAGAGAGCCAACTCTGTTTTTATAGTAAAATTCCAGAGAACATGGCAGAGAGACCGCTGGCCTCAAAGTCAGCAGTTGGCAACACCAAGGCCATTGTTGGTTACTGGAAGTGTGTGTGAGCAGCAGACCGAAAGTCAGTATGATAAGAAACAAGTTATCTGCCTGTTCTCTAAGTAGCAACCCACAGGTCCTCCCTAATTATAAAAGGAAAAAAAAAGAGTAAAATCTTTGTGGGAACATAGAGTTCTAAGGATGACCTGGCTAGCATTCTTTAAACCTATCAGGGCTAGACAAGGCAAGGCAAGACCTACGTCTCAGGATGGAGGTACTAAGGAAACTCAGGCAAATGCCATGAGGGAATTAAATATGGTTATTAGTTTATTTCATGTTGCTCTAACAAAATACGAGCCGCTAACAATTTATCAAGAAAGAGGCTGCAGGCTGGAGACATGGCTCAGAAGTTAAGAGCACTGGCTGCTCTTCCAGAGGTCCTGAGTTCAACTCCCAGCAACCACAAGGTGGCTCACAGTCATCTATAATGAGATCTGGTGCCCTCTCCTGGTGTGCAGGCATGCATGCACGCAGAGTAAATTTTAAAGGAAAGAAGGAAGGAAAAAGGGGAAGGAAGGAAGAGATTGAGAGCCAGAGAGATAGATCAGGGGTTAAGGATGATGCTTGCTACCAAGTTGAGTTTGACCTTTGGAACCTACATGGTGGAAGGAGAGAAACTGAGTCTTACAAGTTGTTCTCTGACCTCCACATGTGTGCTGTGACATGTGCATGCGTGTGTGCGCGTGCGTGCATGCGTGCGTGCGCGTGCGTGCACAAACACACAGACACACACAAAATACTGGAGGTTCAAGTGTGTGGTATGGGGCCAATATCCGACCTACTCTGGCGAGAAGCCTCAAGGCAGATGGCCTTACATCACATGGCCAAGCAGGAGCAACAGCCCACACAATTGACCTCATTCCTTTTAGTAACAACCCATTCTTGCCCTCCTCCAGAACCCAACTGCCTCCCTTGAGACTGTCTCTTAAGGTCCCACCCACCTCCTCTGAGCATAGCCACCTTGGAGACTAAACTTCCAGAATGTAAGTGTCTGGGACATGTTCAGACCATGTCCAGGCTGTGGCGTCTGTGAGTCAGTCAATAGTATGGGTTCATGTTCATTTGCAATCATTTGATCTCTCTGTTGTGGTTCCATGGCACTAATGGGAAAAGCTAACTGACTTCTGTATAGGAATACTGGAGAGGGGTGGGTGAGGAAGGAGACCAGGCCCTAGAAATTTAGGTGTTTTCTAGGAGGGAAACAGGATCTGGGCTCTTGTTGAACCATCTCTGGGCCTTATTTGCTGATCCACTGATAACTGGTATTTAGCCTCACGGAAGGTCTGGGACTCTTCTGTCTGAGAGGAGACCTGTCAGATCTTGTCCCCCACTCTGGTGGTCTGTGGAGTTAGAAAAAGGCAAACGCCCAAGTTCATGGTCACTTCTCATGTCTGAAGGAAGAACCCCACCTAAATCCACTGCTGACAGAGGCTGTACCCCCAGAGACAGGAGGGTGGTGTAGGGAGTCTGAGGTCACCTGGACCACAAAGTGTGACTCTTTCCCCCAAATAGCACAAATGGAGTGGGTGGCACACACCTATGGCCCCCTCACTATGAGTTGGAGGCAGGGGGCCAGCTTCAGCTCTGTCTCCACAATGAACTAATCAGACAGCCGGGACAGCGTCTCTGCGTGGCTGGAAGGTGCAGAGCATGCAAGGCCAGCTCCGCAAATGCAACAGTGCAGCCTGCTCCAGCCATGTTTATGGCTTACTTGTGGCAGGGGCCTGGCCTGGAGGAGAAGCTCCTGGACCTCAGGAGAGAAGAGCCAGCCACTCAGTGCTGAGCATACAGCTAGCAGCACACTGTACACCCACGCTCATCCATTCTCCCCTGTCCTGCTGCAGGAAAGGTTCCCCGCTGTTGAGGGAGAGCAGACTGCAAAATAGAACCACCAAGAAGGGAGAGGAAGGACGGTGAAGGGAGCCTGGGAGGCGAGGCTGTCTCTTTGCTGCTGATTTGCTCAGACACAGCACAGTTGGGGCATCCCACTAAGGGGTCCAGGATGGACAGAGCTGAGTGCTGGGTGGAGTTGGGAGGACCAGCCAGGTGGCCAGGATGTTGAAGGCAAGCTGCTGGGTTTGAGTTAGTGTGCTTGACCCAGCTGCTGGGAAATTGGGGACTGTGCTCTTCAGAGTCACTGGGCTGTTCTTGGGGCACTCCTTCCTGGGGTGGGGGCCATCAGAGCTTGGCGCACTGCAGCGGATGGGAGGACTTGGGAGGGAAGAGCGTGCTTCCCCAGCCCTAGGAAACCAGGATGTGTATCCGGAGATCCACACTCACTCTGTGCGTCCCCGAGGAAGAGGCAGCAGCCGCGGGGCCCTCTCAGACTCCGGTGGATGTCCCCAGTCAATCAGGTCTGGCAGACCTCGGGGGAGGGTGGAGCCGCTCTGAGGCTGTAGTGGTCTCGGTAGCCCGGACCCGGCTCTGGGGAGAGGGAGGCATGGAACAGTTTCTACCCCAGGGGGAGCTCTTCCCCTCTTTGGGACCCCGCGTTGTGGATTCCGAGGGTAGGGCCTCAGATGGGGGGGATTCCTCTGTCTCAGGGCTGAGATCCACCTCACTCTGAGATCCACTCATTTTGCTGGAGTTAGGGTCAGAGCCTGGGTCCTGACATTCCGTCTAAGGCAGACCCAGCTACTATTTCCCAGTATGCCAGTTAGAGAGGCAGCAATAAAAAGCAGAGAGAGATTTATTCAACGTGGCCACACTGAAAGAGGGACAAAAAAGGGTCCCGGTGACCTCCTCTCCAGGCTCATCTTTGGGGTCCTACGAGAAACTTAGGTTTAAACAGAAGGTCAGAGGCATGCACAGCTCAGTGGTCCCAGGTGAGAAATCTTTGGCTCATAGAGGTTCAGTGACCAGCCAGGGGTTCCCCAGTCTCTGGAAAGTGCACGGAACCTGATTTGCTTTCTGTCTATAGTGGTGGTGGAGATAATTCAGCAAAATGACAACGGGGAAGGTTAAAAAAAAAAAACAGGTTAAAAAAAAGAGCAGGGGAGAGGCTGGGGCTGGGGAGGGCCTGCTTTCCCATGGAGGGCTGCTCTGGGAGGGTGGCTGCTTCCTTTGGTTATCAGCACCCCAGACGTTCCCAGGAAACTAGGAAACCCTGAGAAGTGCAGTCTCCCAGGCAGCCTAGGGAGCTGGGAGCTTGGTGTGTGTGTGGGGGGGTCGTACCCTGTGGAGACTGGTTAAGCGGGTCCTTCTAGACCAGCTGTGGCTGCAGACAGGCTCTGGGCAGGAAGAGAGACAGACAGACAGACCGACCGACCTGACCTGAAAGTCATATCTTCCAGGGAGGGGTTTGGAGAGACTTTGCATCACGTCTGACTTTTCTCATGTTTATATTGCACATTTTACATTAGACATTATATTTATTTGTGTGTGACAGCGGCTGTGGACGTTGGAGCTTGACCTTGGGTGTTGTTTTTTGTTTTTGTTTTGTTTTTAATTTTTTATTGAGACAAGGTTTCTTAGTGTAGCTTTGGCTGTCCTGGAACTTACTCTGTAGACCAGGCTGGCCTTGACCTCAGAGATCCACCTGCCTCTGCTGCCCAAGTGCTGGGATTGAAGGCGTGCACCACCATGTCTGGCACTGGTACTGGGTATTGTTCCTTAGGGGTCATTTGTCTGTTTGTTGTTGTTGTTGTTTTGTTTTGTTTGAGACAGGGTCTTTCACTGGTCTGGAGCCCACTGATTAGGGTTGTCTGGTAGCCAGTGTGTCTATCCTGCCTCTTTTTCCTCAGGACAGGAGTTACAGGTGGCATGCTACCAAGCCCAGCTTTCTACATGAGTGTTGGGGACCTAATTCAGGTCCCCAGGCTTGCAAGGCTAATACTTTACAGACTTTCCCCAGCCCTGGACACATGTTATTTTAGACATCAAGAAAAATAGCATGTTGGGGCTGGAGAGATGGCTCAGCAGTCAAAGGCTTTTCCAGACGTCCCAGGTTCAGTTCCCAGAACCCAAGGGGTGGCTCCTAACTCTGTTACTCCAGTTCCGGGGGATCTGACACTCTCTTCTGGTCTCCATGGCCACCAGGCACACACGAGGTATACATCCATCTATCTAGGCAAATTATTGACATACATAAAATAAAAGAGAGAGAGAGAGAAATGTTTAAAAAAAGGAGCAGTTAGTGTAGTGTAGAAAGTGTAATCCAGTGCTCAGAGTGCAGAAAGAGGCTAGCAAGTCTGAGGCCAGCTCGTGCTGCGAGTGAAGGGCTCAACAAACAAAGTTAAGGGAACAGAGCATAGAGACAACCGCCGTAGTACTGTTCCAGAGACGGAATGAATGAACAAAGGTGAGAAATCCTGAGAACAGACCCTGGCCTGCAGTGAGCACTGTGTAGCTGTAGGGTGTGGCTACACATGCAGCTAGGATTGAGAACTGATGGTTTCTCAAACCCGTGATGGAGGGAGGAAGGAGAGAGCCAGTACTACCCACAGCCCCCTAGAGACAGGCTTCTGGTGCCTGGCACAACCTATATGTGTAGCTATTCTGGGGATGGAGGATGTCCCTGCATCTAGTGGCTGGGGCTGACTCGATGTCTCTAGCTACTGTTGGGCCAAGGATATCGAGAATGCCACAACTCTGGGCTGAGGGCTAGAGGGGCCATCAGAAGCCAAGCAAGAATAGTTCCCCAGACGAACCAGGGAGTCTCCGGGGAGGGTTGGATAGCCTGAGGCTCTGCGCTGGCCGTGTTCTGGATCACAGGATCCTGAGGCGGCAGGGGCGAAGTTGGCCCAAGCTGTGCCTGGAGGAAATAAAATCAGAAAGGAAAAAATGAGTGAAGAGAGGGAGGAGAGGAGGCGGCCACACCATTTACACCGCCGTCATTTGTTCCGATGCCAGGCCTGCGCCTAGGAGTGCCGGAGACGGGCCGTCACCCTTGGAGCCCCCAGACTTAGGAGAAGCCAGCTCTGTGTCTGGAAGGTGAAGGAAGGTCAGCCAGAAGTACCCTGTGTGAGTGCTGGGGACTGGGCAGGGGTGCTGCAGGGAGGGGTGGCTTTCAGGGAGGAAAGGCACTGTCCACTAGAAGTGGCCAGATGGGCTGCTTTTACATTCCACTAGCTGCGGAGTCTGTGAGGTCTTGTTTGTTTGAGCAGTTTGCACATTTTTTTGGGTTGCACCATCCATAGCACACTCTGCTGGAATGGATGGAGGTCAGCCCCTTGGGCAAACTACCCACCTGGCACCGTTCTTTAGAGCTCTTGGCTGGGTGCCTGGCGGTGGTGACGCACGCCTTTAATCCGAGCACTTGGGAGGCACAGACAGGTGGATCTCTGTGAGTTCCAGATCAGCCTGGTTTACAGAGCAAGCTCCAGAACAGACTTCAAAGCTACAGAGAAACTCTGTCTTGAAAAACCCAAACCAAAACCAAACAAACAAAATAAAAGAGTTCTTGGCTGGGATCCAGGGCAGTGGAAGGAGGGATGCTGTCAGCAGCTCTGGATCTCAGATCTTGGAGTTCAGGTTGAATAGGCAACCTGAGTTTAGTGCGGGGTATCCAAGCGTGGGGAAATCCCCACCGTGGCCTTTGCCACACTCAGTTCTCCCAGCACTGACCACAGTGTTGGTCACTGTGAAGAGCTCGCAGACTGCCTGCCAAGGCCACGTGTCAGCTGCACAGCTGCAGGGCTGGCTCCATTGGCTGACTTTTCTCTGGCCTACATTGCTCAGGCTGGAAGCTCCATTGAAGGAGTCGTATCCTTCAAACTTAAGTTTGTCTGCTGAAAGGGGGACCTCAGACTAAGGCATGGCAGTTCTCCCTTGAGTTTTCAGTCCACCAGCTCATCCATGGCTTTGGGAGTTGGGTGTTACCTCATCACACCTGTTTCACCCTTTGGTGATGTGGGATTCCCCTCTGTGTGCTGTGATTACCTTAATGGATAAGGAAACTGCCTTGGCCTGTTGATAGGGCAGAACTTAGGTAGGCAGGGAGAACTGGACTGGATGCTGGGAGAAAGAAGGGCGGAGTCAGAGACGCCATGGAGCCGCCAGAGTCAGAGATGGTGAATCTTTGCCGGTAAACCACTGCCACGTGGCAAAATACAGATTATTAAAAATGGTTTAAATTAAGATGTAAAAGTTAGCCAATGAAAAGTTACAGCTAATGGGCCAAGCAGTGATTTAAATAATACAGTTTCTGCGTGATTGTTTCAGTTCTGGGCGGCTGGGACGAACAAGCGGCCCTCTCTTCCAACACTCTGGGACATGGAAATCACTGGAGCAGCCTTTGAGCATCCTGGGAGGAAGTTCCAGGCATGCTTAGGTCACACGTCGTGGCTCTCAAAGCCACTTGTCCCTGAGAGTGAGCTCATGCGGTGCAGCCCACAAGGCCACATGCCACATGGATGGAGCTGTGCTTTTTGTTTTTGTTTTTGGAGGTTTTGTTTTATTATTTTATTTTATTCTATCCTATTTTATTTGAGACAGGATTTAATGTACCTCAGTCTCATCTTGAACTTTCTGTGTGACTGAGGAGGATGATCCTGAACTTGTGATCCTCCTACTTTTAAATCTCCTGAGTTCAGGGATTGAAGGTGCGCACCACAGCCATACAGCACTGAGAGCCAAACCTGTGGCACCAACAGCTCAGCTACATCCCAGCGTAGATATAACAACCTTACTGTGCCACAGCTAAATTCATGTGCCTCTGCGTCCCTAGCTTTATGGGACACAGTGAGCTTAGCGGAACCTAAACTTGTCGGCCCTCTGACTGGACGTCCTTAAGCGATTCTCTGGATCCCCCAAAGTTTTCCCTGCAGAGTCTCCTTTAGTACCCACAAACTTACCCCAAGAAGGGAACGACTCATTCTGCTCGAGGTTCTGATGGAGAAGCCAGTAAATAAAGGGGATAAAGATGACCAGTGCTCACACTCGTTCTTGTGATTACTGCACAGTGGCCAGGGAGGCACGTGCCGTCTATGCAGTGTACAAGGACAGAGTTGCTGAATCAGTCGGGTAGTTTGGATGGAAGTGTTGGGAGAGGCCTGTTGCTTCAGAGAACCTGGAGAGCTTCCCAGAATCCTCAAGGGGGGGAAAGACCTTCAGACGTGGCTCGGGCCCAAGTAGAGCTGCTGTCTCCGACTTTGATCTCAGCATCTGTTAGGTTGCATGTTTGCTAAAACAAAAGTCAGGGTCTTTGAGAAATCAGATCAAGGCCAGGGCAGAAGGTGCAGAGCTGCAGAGAACAGCGAGGGTGCAGTTATTGGCATCCTGCTTGACAAGCCCTGAGCCTCAGAAGGGCTCTCTTCACCTGTACCCCTCCTCAGCTCAGCTCCTGATGCCAGCCCAGGAATGGGAGGCACTCAGAGCCACCTCTGAGGCCAGCCAGGAAACGACTTCCCAGACATGTTTACAGCTTGCCCAGCATCTGGTCCCCATGCTATTAGATAGGAGCCCAAGGGTGGGGCCGAGGCTGACGGAGAGGGAGTCTCCTGCGTTCCATGGGAGGGGTGATGTCCCCACCCAGTCCATTCCTTCCAAACTCATATGTGCTCAGAGTCCCACTTGGGCCTCTTGAGCCAGCAACGCTTTCAAAATTCTTCTTATAAAAATAATAATAAAAAAGCCCACAAAATTCTATAAGAAAGAACTGGAGAAAGAAGCATACATGAGGAAGGTAAAACCCACACTACATAAGCCTCCTTACAAAAACCAAGTTATGGCAGTGTGTGCCGGCACTCTAGCACTTGAGAAGCGAGGCAGGGGGATCACTACAATCCCCCAACTTCTTATGGAATGAGATTCCCACCCACTAAAGGCATAAATAAATATGAGTACAAGCTGCCACTGAGCGCATGAGACGCTCACCCTAGTGGGTCTGGAAAACAGGGAACAAAGCGCAGATGATGTTTAGGGGGAACTGGTATGTATTTCATGGCTCATTAGCACCGGCAGCCCGCAGACCCTCTCTAGTGTCCCCTCCCTCCCCTCTCTCCTCCAAAGCCCTCCCCACTGGTGAGCTACGCAATGTGTTGGACTTAGAGGCCCCTCCCCTTGGGTTCTAACAGGGAGTGAAGTTAGTCTTATATTCTTGATCAAAGAGGCATCTTCTGCTATGAAGGAAGGGCATCCTCTTTGTCTAAGCGTGCAACTTCAAGACGGACACACGGCAGTGTGTGTGTGTGTGTGTAGTGTAAGGAAGGGGATGCCCACTTTGCTAGACAGATAAGCCACATTAGGTGGTCAAAGGGATGACTGACAGATGTCAGGCAGTCACCCTAAATACTGTCCTCTTTTTCTGCCTCTGTACCTGCCCCCACCTCTCTTTTTCTGTAACTCAGCACAGAATTGAGCACAATTTAAGTTCACTTCACCCATGCCGTGGTTCATGCTATTCTCATGTTCACCCACGCTATGGTTCATGCTATTCTCATGTTCACCCACGCTATGGTTCATGCTATTCTCATGTTCACCCACGCTATGGTTCATGCTATTCTCATGTTCACCCACGCTATGGTTCATGCTATTCTCATGTTCACCCACGCTATGGTTCATGCTATTCTCATGTTCACCCACGCTATGGTTCATGCTATTCTCATGTTCACCCACGCTATGGTTCATGCTATTCTCATGTTCACCCACGCTATGGTTCATGCTATTCTCATGTTCACCCACGCTATGGTTCATGCTATTCTCATGTTCACCCACGCTATGGTTCATGCTATTCTCATGTTCACCCACGCTATGGTTCATGCTAGTCTCATGTTCACCCACGCTATGGTTCATGCTATTCACATGTTCACCCACGCTATGGTTCATGCTATTCTCATGTTCACCCAAGCTATGGTTCATGCTAGTCTCATGCTTTGCTACATAGCAGTACATAGGTGTGGGTGAAGGTTTTCTAGACAAGACCGCAAAAGCACAGACCGAAACTAGAGGCTGGGGTGGGGAAAGTGGATTTTATCGAACAGTGCCGAGGAGAGACTCAGAAGAGTGATGAGGGAGCCTACAGGGTAGCAAAGAAATATTAATTATTCATCTGACAAGGGATTAATACCAGGAGTATATATATAAGCCATTACCCTCTCCCAAACTACCTGATCTTAAAATGAGCAAATGATTAGCTAGGCATAATAGTACAAGCCTGCAATCTCAGTGCTTGGGAGAAGCAGGCAGGAGGATCAGGAGTTCAAGGTCAGCCTCTGCTGCAAGGTAAGTTCAAAACCAAAACAAATCAAAGCAAACAGAACAAAACAAACAAAAGACAAGAGAGGATGAAGATATTTCTCAAAAGGAGACACGTAGTGGTCAATAGTACACCCTAACCATACTCCCCCAAAGATAACATTAGTAACCTTCAGGGAAATGTGAGTCCAACCCCTGAGTCGGATCACACCACACCAGTAAGAGACGAAAGAGACAGAAAGCAGGGAGGCAGAGGCGAGAGTCGGATCAAGTGAGCCCAGTCTACACAGCCAGTTCCAGGCCAGCCAGGGCTACATAAAAACATAAACAAAACACAAAATGCAAAACAATAACCTTGCTGGCTGGGATGCAGAGAAAAGAGGCCCAAAAGCCGTTGGAGGGATGTAAATGAGTGTGGTCACCATGCATTCTGAGCTTAGCCGAAGGCCCAGGAAAAATGCCCCACCGCCATGGCATTTAGCATGCAGATTCTCAAAATAACTGTACATCGAACCACCAGATATATGTGTGTGGGAAATGCAGGCCTCACAGAGTTGAGAAATGAGCAATCACAGAAGGTGTGGAAGAGGCTGGATGGGTGAGGATGTAGTCTGTGGCGGAAGAAGCGTTGGGGAGCCTCTGCATGGTACACTGACTGCAGAGAATCATGTGTGCTGTGGGTATTTTTAAACCTCGAAGGCAGATTCTCATTTGAGAAGCAGAGACGCACCGCTTCCCACAACTCTGCAAGAGAGGAGCCAGGGCAACAAGGAGAAAGAATTCTGAGAAGAGAGGAAAGCCAGAACAGCAGGGGAACTGGAAAGGGAGCAGAAAAAAGGAGGCACCAATTTGAAACTAACACCAGCGCTCTGGCTGGGCTCAGAGACCAGACACTGCAAGCAGGAGGTAAGCCAGAGTGCAACCAAGCCCAGCTACTACCAGCTACCCCGGCAGACAGCACGGTTGAGCAATCCATATTCCATCTAAGCTTTAATACAGTTCAGGGGACTGGCTCAAAAGACACCTGCGCTGCAAGGCATACAGAAAAGGAATCCAGCTACAGCTCCAGGCCAGAAGCCCTTGAAACAAATATGCCTGGAATAGCCATGAGTCGGGGGCCCTATGGACCAGCTAGCCGCATTGATTTGTTGGGAGGTGGCATGGTAGACAAGAGGTGTAGGGGAGAGTGATTCAAAGTTACAAATCTGCTCTGTGGTGGTGTAATGGGGAGTCTCCCGGAGATGGCCGCCCAAACAGTTTGTAGCCAATTGAAAGTCTTCATTTCAGCTGACTAGGTCTACACTCAGGCATTCAGAACCTACGTGTAGCACAGAGTGTCCAAATCAAGGGGTTTTCGAAGGCAAAACCAACGCCCCAGCTTTTCACTTGGCAGATGCGGCAGGGCAGGGCAGGGCAGGGCAGGGGTAGGGTAGGGCAGGGCAGGGCAGGGCAGGGCAGGGCAGGGCAGGGCAGGGCAGGGCAGGGGTAGGGTAGGGGTGCTCCACTCCAGTAAGCAGTTTAACAGAAGCCAAGATAAGCAGTTAGCTGGAGGGAGGGGGCTTCTGCACAGGCAGACAATTTAACAAGCTAAGTTAGCTGGGGCATCTTGACCTCCGAGTTCTAGAATATACTTAGGCAATTCTTCTATGGCATTCTCCACTAAGGAGATCAAATTCTAGTCAAGCCTAAAATGGCTTCAGCAAGAATACAAGATGGAGAAACCTCTTGCGTTGTCAATAAAGAGGGGAACAGAGGAGACAGAAGTCAGTTGACTACCAACATTTTTTTTAAAGTCTGTTTGTGTTTCTTTTTTTTTATTTAAATTTATTTATTTATTAAGGATTTCTGCCTCGTCCCCGCAACCGCTTCCCATTTCCCTCCCCCTCCCCCAATCAAGTCCCCCTCCCTCATCTGCTCGAAGAGCAATCAGGGTTCCCTGACCTGTGGGAAGCCCAAGGACTGCCCACCTCTATCCAGGTCTCGTAAGGTGAGCATCCAAACTGCCTAGGCTCCCACAAAACCAGTACGTGCGGTAGGATCAAAAACCCACTGCAATTGGTCTTGAATTCTCAGTATTCCTCATTGTCCGCTATGTTCATCTAGTCCGGATTTATCCCATGCTTTTTCAGACCTAGGCCAGCTGGCCTTGGTGAGATCCCAATAGAACATCCCCATTGTCTTAGTGTGTGGGTGCACCCCTCGTGGTCCTGAGTTCCTTGCTCGTGCTCCGTCTCCTTCTGCTCCTGATTTGGACCTTGAGATTTCTGTCCGGTGCTCCCATGTGGGTCTCTGTCTCTGTCTCCTTTCATCGCCTGATGAAGGTTAATATTCATGAGGATGCCTATGTGTTTGTCTTTGGATTCACCTTCTTATTTAGCTTCTCTAGGAACATGAACTAAACCCTGTGTAGTCCTGGGTGGCCTGGAGCTGGCTGTATAAGCCAGCCTTGCTTTGGACTTGCAGTCTCTGCCTACTCAGCAGACTTGCTGTCTCTGGAGCCAAACTTGGAGGCGCTGGTCTGAGTTGATGACCCTCTTCTGGTTCTGGACTCCGCGAGTCAGTGTGAGTGGGGTGGGTGTTCAGTTCTCATACCAGAGCATTCTGGAAATCGCTTTGGCATTTGCTACTCTCCTGGGCACATGCACTGGAAACTTCCAGGCTAATATATACCAACCATGCTACCCCACAGACTGTTGACAACGGCCAGATTCTGGCTATTCTGTGTTCACATGCTGGCAAAACTGAACCCACATATCAAAACCTCTGGGGAAGTGACAGCCCTGGTTAGACAATGCTCCCCTTAACCTGCTCAGTGAGATGCAGTGTCTATCCACACTTCACCCCAACTTGTACCATGCATGCTGAGTGGCACCACCTCAGGTTGCTGTTCAGGTATTTAGCCACAGCCTCAGAAAACTATCAACTTAAGGAAGGTGCATTATTTGGGCTCAGGGATTGAGGGGACACAGTCGTTCATAGTTTAGGTTTCTCTCTTTAATCTTTGTGTTTGCATGTGTTTACATGTATGTGAGTACGGGCAGGCCAGTGGATGTCGGAGGACAAACGCATGTCTTCTCTGCGGTCATGTACCCCAGGCTAACTGGCCTTTGAGCTGCTGAGGCTTTTGTCTCTGTCTCCTGTCTCTTTGTAGGAGTTCTGGGATTATAGATGTACCGCTGCCTCCGGCTTCACATGGGTCTGGGCATCTGCACTGAGGTCCTCATGCCTGCCCAGCGAGTGCCTCACCCCACCAAGCTCTTTTCCCAGGCTCTCACTATGGCTTTTTGTTTCCTGCAGAAGTTCAGCCATGCCCACCAAAGCCTCCCCCCTGCCACTCACCACCAGCTCCGAGAACAGCAGCTCCATTTACGACTATGATTACCTGGAGGATGTGACCGTCTTGGTCTGCAGGAAGGATGAGGTCCTTTCCTTTGGGAGAGTCTTTCTGCCGGTCATCTACAGCCTGATCTTTGTGCTGGGCTTGGCTGGGAACCTCCTCCTCCTGGTGGTACTTCTCCGCTACACACCGCGAAGACGGATGATCGAGCTCTACCTGCTGAACATGGCCATCTCCAACCTCTTGTTTGTAGTGACGATGCCCTTCTGGGCCATCTCTGTGGGCTGGCATTGGGTTTTTGGCAGTTTCATGTGCAAGGTGGTGAGCGTTCTCTACACGATTAACTTTTACAGCGGCATCTTCTTTATCACTTGCGTGAGCCTGAACAAATACCTGGAGATCGTTCATGCCCAGCCTCTCCACAGACCGCAGACCCGGTTCAGGAACCTGCTCCTCATTGCCGCAGTGTGGACCACGGCCCTGGCCATCTCTGTCCCAGAGATGGTCTTTGTCAAGGTCCACCAGACCTCAGATGGCATGTGGCACTGTTACGCTGATTTTGGCGGACACGCGACCGTTTGGAAGCTCTACCTGCGCTTCCAGCAGAACCTTCTGGGGTTTCTCCTCCCACTCTTGGCCATGGTCTTTTTCTACTCCCGCATCGGCTGTGTTTTGGTCAGGCTGAGGCCGCCAGGCCAGGGCCGGGCTCTGAGGATGGCCGCAGCCCTGGTGGTAGCTTTCTTCCTGCTCTGGTTCCCGTACAACCTCACCGTGTTTCTGCACTCGCTCTTGGACCTGCACGTCTTTGGGAACTGCCAGATCAGCCACTCTCTGGACTACACGATGCAGGTGACGGAGAGCCTGGCCTTCTTCCACTGCTGCTTCACGCCTATCCTCTACGCCTTTTCCAGCCGCCGCTTCCGGCAGTATCTGAAAGCTTTCCTGGCTGCCGTGCTGAGATGGCACCGGGACCCTGGCCCTGCCCAGGCCCTGCCATCTAGCCATTCGGAGAGCAGCAGGGTTACTGCCCAAGAAGATGTGGTCAGTATGAATGACCTGGGAGAGAGGCAGGCTGATGACTCCCTTAACAAGGGGCATACGGGGACTGGTTAGGCCTGAGTGGCTGGGCTGCACCATTCCGGAAAGAACACCGCTCCCTCTCAGGGCCCTCATGACTGCACTGCTTGGCCCCGTGATTCTCAACCACCAGCGGTCCTTGCTCACGGCTGCCCCTTCCTCCATCTCCCTGGACCGTATGCTGTCTGCTGATTCGCTGCAATGGTCCCCATGATCTTTGCTTCTGTGGCTTTCTGGGTCCCCAGCAGCCAGTGAGGTCATTCTACTCGGACTTCAAGGGCTTTGTGACCAGCCTATGATCTCACCTCTGCCACGCTCCCTCCTAGTTTCTGGGTGCAGGGCTCCCTGGTTTCCCCTCCCAGTAGGGAGAGCTCAGCCATGCCACCTGCCTGGACAGTCGTCCCCTTGGGGAGCGATGGCTCATTCCTTTGCTCTTGGGGTCATGGCTCAGATCTCACGGTGTTGGCGAGGGGCCCCATGCTCACCCTACTTCATGCCCTGCCTGCATCCCCGATGCTCTAGACCGTTGGCATCTGCCCTGACCACTTACACTCTGTCCACAGATTTCTCCTGTCCGTGGCGTCCACTGCCTTAAGCTATCTACCCTGCAGAGCCACGGAGGGAGGCTCTTACTGTGTGGTCACAGCTACACTCAAACCCATGCCACAGAAGAAAGTGTGGAGTGTGAGTGACGAGTTCTTTCTCTGTGGCATTTTTGGGAAGAGCTACAGGCACTCTCCCACCAGGGCCCTTTTCTGTGTAACTCAGAGGGGTCTACACCTTCCTAGCCTTGACAGTAGCTCCAGAGCTGTCGTCTGAAGGCATTGGAGGTGCTCCAGTCAGGGAACAGCACAACAGGCGCACATCTGGCAGGAGGAAGGCAGGAACCATCCCAGCTCGGGCCTGATCTCAGGACCTTCAGTCTTTCAGAGGTCTGTCAGTCAAGTTCAAGGCTTTCTCTGAACTTTCCAAAAGACCTGCCGGGGAGAAGGTGGCCCCTCAACACATCCTGCTGGGAAAACTGGGTTTGCAGGTGTGGGAGGTTAAAACAAGATCCTATCTCTCATCTGGTACAAGAGCAGCTAAAAGTGGATCAAAGACTCGGTAGACCTAAAGCTTTGACCCAAAGGAAAAGCACAGGGAAACAACCAAGACATCATCAGAGGCAAGGACTTTCTGAGCAAAGTTCCACTACCCCAGGAAACAGGAGCAGGAACTGAGAAGCAGGATTGCATGAAGTTACATGGTGTTATAGTCTCCAAGGCACAGGGGCAAAGGTCAGGTTAAAAAGACGGCTTCATCTGTCTCTTTAACCCAGCTCACTTTTACCTAACAGGGCCAATATCCAGACTGCACAGGGGACTGAAAAATTGACAAGGTCAAATAATCCAATAAAAAAATATGGGTGAGTGGTCTGAACAGGCATTTCTCAAAAGAACAGATGCTCAATAAACACATGAAAGCCCCTTTGCACCCTTGTCCATCACAGAAACACAAATCGGATGATGCCGCAGGTCTACCTCACCCAGGTCAGTTCCCAGAGAAGTTACAAGAACAGCAGAACCATGGACTCTGGTGGGACACGGGGAAGATGGACCCTTAGTGACTGCAGCTGGGTAAACTGGTACAGTCGCTGTGGGCAGGAATTTGTTGGTTAAAGAACTGAAAACTGCTAATGACCCATCAATAAAACCCCTGCGTGTCCCTGAAGGAAGTGAAGTCGGCGAACTCTGGAGACAACCGTGCATCATGTTTATCATGCTGTTTTCAACGATAGCCAGGATGGGAATCAGCATAGCTGTCCAGCAATTAACAAACACGTGGAAAACACCGTAAACACACTGTAGGGCGTTACCCAGCCTTGAAGGAGACGAGGAGGAGAAGCCGGAAAATGATAGTGTTCTGGTTGAGTCAAGTGACGTAAGCCAGGCTTACAGGAGTATCATGTATTTCCTCTATTTCGTGGAAGCTAAGACAAGAGAGTAGGAAGTAGGAGTAGGGAGAGCAGAGGGAGGAAGGCATGGCACATGTATGTCATGGACAAAGCATCATATACACATGTAAGGAAAGGTCACAGAGAACCCTGTCAGTCTACACAGGATGAGCCCATAACTACAACAACATTGCTTGGCATGAAGGCCAGGACTTGTGTGTGCGTGCACATGGATGTGCGTGTGTCAGTGGGTGTGCATGTGTGCAATGAATATGTATGTGTCAGTACATACATCCACCTTTTTTTTTTGAGACAAGGTCTCTCCCTGGTCAAGGCAGACCCCTGTCTCCCCCTTCCCCGAGGCTGCACAGCTATATGCACCAAGCCTGGCTTTTTGGCACTGGGGATTGGACTCAGGTTCTGGTCCCTGTGTGGCAGGTGCTTCCTTGACTGTGCCTCCCAAGGCCAGCGCTTTCTCAGCTGTATCCAGGCATCTTCACCCTCCAGCTCCTCCGTTTCCCCGAACACTCGCCACTCCGTGCGGCTCTTGTCTGCCCTGCTCCCTCTGTAATAAAGTTTGCTTCTGGTCACGTGTGTTCTCCCTCATCTCCCAAGCTAATCCTACCTGCTCTGGGGGAAGTTGCCCTGCCCTGTGCTCCAGGTGGAGTCTTATACTGTTCTGATTTGGATCAGCATCCTCTGAGTTTCCCGTAGTGGAGAAACCTCCGAGCAGGCCCTTGAAGGAAACGCTGGAGCCTGTTGCGGGAGGTCCTCCCACTCCTCCAGCCTATCACCACTGAGGTACCAGCCCACTGGGGCGTGGTTTCTCTCCCTTTAAAAAAGCGGCCACTTCCCTCTTCTCTCTCTCTTCACTTCCTGCTCCGCCTGCAACTAGACTCCTTTCCTGGTTGCGAAGAGGGCTGTTGGCTGGGACAGTGATCTGTAAGTTTTTTCCCCTTTAAATAAATACCACCCTAATAATCATAACCCCGAATTGGTGTGGCATTGTTTGTGACTTACGCCTTCATTTTGGCGCCCAACATTTGGTTTTAGAACCTCTCCTTTCCCCACTCGCAGCCGCGAGTTCGGCTTGGCGGCCCCAAGTTCGGCTTGGCGGCTGCGGGCTTGGCGGGTGCAAGTTCAGCTTGGCGGCCGCGGGCTTGGCGGGCTCTAGTTCGGTTGGCAGGAGCCCTCCCCTTCCACAGCCGCCAGCGGCCTTGGACTCCCCACGTGGATTTAAACTCCACAGGCCCGCGTAGTCTCTGGCCGCGTGGTTTGCTCTTTTCTGAGTCATTTTTAAATCTCCCTTGCAAGTACAGCTCTTAAGTGGCACGAACCAGAGCACGTGGTTGCTGAAAGCTGCAACCCCTCAGGGTGACTTGTTCCGTCTCAGGAATTGATTTAATTAGATTTATTTTGTTGAGAAACTTGCATTTTCCAGTTTTTAACATCTACTAAGGCACTGAAACAGGACCATGTTTTCACCGCGACTCTGCAACAGCGCCACCTGCTGGATAATAGGTAATATTGCAGTTTTTGTTTCTAACGCAAATTTTACTGCTTTGTTTTCACTAATACAATGGATTAGTAAATTTATATTTACTAATACAATTAATTACATCATACAAGGTTTATATGATTATGGGGATACCTTAATTTGCTTGTTACTAGCCTTCAGTTTTCTTTTCCATATTCTATCATTAAGGAAGAATATGGCACTCCTAAGAATGATAGAATCTTTACGAACTAATAATGAACAACTAATTGACAGGATTAAAATTATTGAAAATCAGAGGTTATCTGAACAAGTGGATACTATGACAGACAAAATTGATTCCATATCCAAGGGTATTAGAAAGTTACCTGAAAGGGTTCAGGCTGTTGAATTTGACGTTCAGACTTTATCACAAAGTTTTGATAAGGTAACAGACAGAATGTACCTCCAAGATGGGAATCTACATGATATACAAGAAAAGTTTAAGGAGGACATGTTATCTTTGAAGGAAAAAATTAAAGCTTTGGAATCACAGGTGCAGAATGGGGACCAAAAAATTGATACCTCAGTGAAATCACTGGAAATATATACAGGTCAGGAGATTCAGGATTTAAGAGAGACAATGATAAAAAGATTTGAAAAGATTGGGGAAATTATTGCAGCTGGTGAACAGAGTAAGGAGGCACAAGGACAGGATACAAGGCCTCCACCAGCTATTAGAACTGGCTTACCCAGGGTTCTAGCGACATACCCTATACTTAATTCTGAAAAAGCATCAACTTCTAAAGGCTCAAAGGGAGTCAGAGAAGCTAGATGGACGCCAATAGCAATGAATGATCTGAAAGAAATTAAGCAAGCTGTTGTTAATTTTGGCTTGCACAATGCATATGTAAAGGAAATGATAAGGACTTGGGCTTCTAATGCTAGAGCTACCCCCCATGATTTCCATCAGTTAGTGTCTGCAGTTTTAGATAATGGACCTTCCTTGATGTTCGGAATTTATTTCAGAGAAGAATCCAAACATATGGAACAGCAAGGAAGAGCAAAAGGTATTGAGGTTTCCCAAGATCAAATTCTTGGTGCAGGAGAATATGCTGATCCACAGGTCCAAGCTCTTTATGACGATGAAGTACTGTGTCTATGTCACCAAGCAGCTTTAAATGCTTGGAATAGGATACAAGATCCAGCAAAAAGGGTTGAATCATATACCAGAATTAGGCAGGGACAGAGAGAACCCTTTATTGACTTTTTGCAAAGATTAATTAAGGCTCTGGACATAGGGGTAACAGACCCAGAAGCTAGACGAATACTTCTTGAATCTCTAGCTTTTGAGAATGCAAACATAGAATGCAAAAAGATAATTGGGCCTTTAAAGTCTAGATCAGCACCTATGGATGAATGGATTCAGCATACGATGAATGTTGAGACGTTTAGCTATAATGATGAATCTTGGGTAGGAGAAGCGATTTCCAAAGCAATGAGGAGACATCAAACTGCCAGGTGTTTTAATTGTGGTAAATTAGGACATTTGCAAAGGAATTGCAGGCAAAGAATTTCTAGGAATAATATCTCTTCTGGGAATGACAAAAATAGGAGACCTCGGCCTTCAGGTATATGTAGGAGATGCGGTAAAGGCAGGCATTGGTCCAACGAATGTAGGTCAACAACAGACAGACGGGGCAATCCGATATCATCGGGAAACTCCTTGGGGGGCCTCTTGCAGGCCCCCAAGCCAACAGTGGCCCAGTCATTCCCAGTCACAGTGGAGAACGTGCCTCACCAAGAAAATTAAAAGCTCCAATTTCTGCTGTAAAAAGTAATACTGGTCTAAATGAAGAATTACGTGTGGAGGATGAGTCAAAAAACCCAATAGGGCAGAGTAAACGTATATTTCGGCAGACTTCTATTAATGATCAAAGACCAAAGCTAAGAGTCTGTATAAATGGCACTTTTATTGAAGGCTTATTAGACACAGGTGCGGATGTAAGTATCATTACCCCAGAATCTTGGCATCCGAATTGGCCTCTTCAAGAGGTAGATGTTCAGTTCCTAGGAATTGGAACCCTATCTCGTGTAAAACAAAGCACAAGATGGGTTGAATGCATAGGGCCCGAAGGGCAAATAGGAAGACTAAGGCCATATATAGCCAATATTGCCATAAATTTATGGGGCCGTGACCTGCTACAGCAATGGAATACCCAGATTAACATTCCTGTATTTCCAGGAACTCATAATTCTGGGAAGGATATGATGAGGTATTATGGAAAAAGGTCACCAGCCATTCAGGCTGTACAAGAACATACAGCAAATACCAAACCTTTAGAGGTACCAACGGCCCTACCTTTAAAATGGCTAACTGAGAAGCCAATATGGACCAAACAATGGCCTCTAACTGAAGATAAACTACAGGCATTGGAACAGCTGGTGCAAGAGCAACTAGATGCTCACCATATTGAAGAATCAACCAGCCCTTGGAATTCTCCTGTGTTTGTTGTAAAAAAGAAATCTGGTAAATGGAGAATGGTGACAGATCTAAGAGCTGTCAACAAAGTAATTCAACCTATGGGCCCACTACAATCTGGAATTCCTTTGCCTTCTCTGTTACCAAAAGGATGGCCTCTTATAGTTATTGATTTGAAAGATTGTTTTTTCACTATACCGTTACAAGAAAAGGATAGAGAAAAATTTGCCTTCACAGTGCCTACTTATAATAATTCTCAGCCTAATAGGAGATATCAGTGGACTGTCCTCCCACAGGGTATGCTCAATAGTCCTACACTGTGCCAATATTTTGTAAGTAAGCCATTGGAAATAATTCGTAAACAATTCCCCAAGTCCATCATTTATCATTACATGGATGACATCTTATTATCTGATTCAAATAAAGATACTTTAGAAAGGATGTTTGAAGAAGTAAAGAAAGTCTTGCCTAGGTGGGGATTACAAATTGCCCCTGAAAAGATTCAAAGAGGAAATTCTATTAATTACCTAGGTTACAGAATAGGGTTAGAGAAAATTAAAACGCAAAAGGCACAAATTAGGAGAGACCGGTTAAAGACTCTTAATGACTTCCAAAGATTGTTAGGAGACATTTCCAGTCTACGACCAGCTGTTGGGATAACACCTGATCTAATAGTTCATTTAAACAAAACCTTAGATGGTGATAAAGATTTGAATAGTCCAAGAGAACTGACAGCTGAAGCAGAAAAGGAACTGACAATGATTGAGGAAAAATTACAGGAGGCACATGTGGATAGGGTGAACCCAAATCTTAGCTGCATCCTAGTCATATTGCCTTCCAGAATTTCTCCTACAGGGATTCTAATGCAGAGGGAAGATATTATTTTAGAGTGGATATTTATACCTAATAAACCAAGTAAAAAATTAAAAACTTATGTGGAAAAGGTCTCTGAATTAATTATAAAAGGTAAGCTGAGACTTCGTCAACTAGCAGGTATAGACCCAGCAGAAATTATAGTGCCTTTTACTACTGAAGAAATAAAAAAGTTATGGGAAGACAATGAACCATGGCAAAGAGCTTGTGCTAACTTTTTGGGAGAAATTAATAGCAACTATCCCAAAAGTGATAGACTTAATCTCATAAAAAGAACTTCTTGGATTCTTCCTAGAATTGTACGTGATGCTCCAATAACTGGAGCCCGTACGTTCTATACTGATGCAAATAAATCAGGGAAAGCAGGTTACAAGTCAGATGAATTGAGTAAGGTGGAACAAAGCCCTTATAATTCTGTCCAGAAGGCAGAATTATATGCCATTCTTATGGTGCTAAGGGATTTTAAAGAACCTCTTAATATAGTTACAGATTCACAATATGCAGAAAGAGTTATCTTGCATATTGAAACCGCTGAATTTATACCAGATGACACAGAGTTGACTTCATTGTTTATCCAGGTACAAGACATAATCAGGAACAGGCTTTGTCCGATGTACATAACACACATCCGGTCCCATACAGGTCTGCCTGGTCCTCTAGCCCAAGGCAATGCTGAGATTGATCAATTATTGATTGGAAGTGTGTTGCAGGCCTCGGAATTTCATAAGAAGCATCATGTCAATAGTAAAGGCCTAAAGAAAGAATTTTCCATTACTTGGCAACAAGCTAAGGACATTATAAAGAGATGCCCTACTTGTTCTTTCTATAATCAAACACCGTTGCCTGCAGGGAGTAACCCAAAGGGTACTAAGAGAAATGAAATCTGGCAGATGGATGTGTTCCACTTTATGGAATTTGGTAAATTAAAATATGTACACCACACCATAGACACGTATTCAGGTTTTCAATGGGCTACTGCCCTGAGCTCAGAAAAGGCTGATTCAGTAATCACACATTTATTGGAAGTTATGGCCATC